GAGAAACAATTAAAAACTTTTTGAAAAGCTAAGGGAAACCGCCTGAAGTAAAAATTAAAAAAAAAGTAAGACAACGAATTATTTTCCTAAGAAAAAAGGCTGAAAATCCAATTTTAATTAACAAACTTTAAATTCTTCTCTGTAAAAATTCATATATATTATATAAATAACATTATCATAAATATTAGTTGCCTTTTTTCCAATCATCCTTTTAGTCTATACAGCAAGCTTTTGTACATAATCTAGTAAATTTTTAACCTACATATATATATATGTGTGTGTGTGTGTGTGTGTGTGTGTGTGTGTGTGTGTGTGTGTGTGTGTGAATTTTCAGGTCCCCTGGGAGAATACATCACTAATATCAACAAGCAGAAAATTAAATTAAATTCTTTCATTGGCCACACATGCAACACACTCTCTGGTAGGTTGACTTTACAATTCGAGAGACCTCTACTATGTATTGAGCTCTCCTTTAAATTACATGTTACGTACAGTGGAATCATATTTCATTTGTTCTCATTTTACCGGTATATACATATATATATTTATAAGCAGTAAATTCAACCTTGTCAACCGAACGATACTTTGTGGCCGAGCGGTCAAGGCACGTCAGCGTAAATGACGGTTCCGTATAGGATGCATGTTCGAATCCTGTCTAAAGGACGAATATTTTCTATGAAAATTTCTCGGACATTCAAGCCGGTAAATGTTATTTAATACTGTTTATTATAAACAGAGCATTTACTTAAATACTTGTATCTATAAAAAGAACGTTAAACATAAAAAAAAAATGTCTTTAATAAATAAATTGTCGGACTTTGTCCATTTCTTAATATATATATATATAAAGAAACAAGAGGATAAAACTATATATATATAACTGAAGTTGGCGCTCTTTGGAGTAAAGTTGTTAGATTATTATTACTACGTTGCCAATTTATTTTCTGGTGCTCCTCATTTGTAGCCTTGTGCCACCTTTATTTGAATAAATATTTCTATATCATATAAGTGTTTAATGTACATAAATTTAACGGTATGAATAGGTTTGCGCTTCATCTAGTTGATACAATACGTTTGTTTTTAGCAAAAATTTTGGGTCCAATATTGCAATTGATCATTCAGAAATATCTTTTGTACAAGATTAGTCGACCGCTGGGAACAGCATCATGGCGGACAACTGATGTCAAAGCCCCAAATTAGACCAGCTGCAACTGCAACAGCAGCCGTTTTTGCATGTTCAAACAACACAGCTGCAAAATGCGTTAAAGCTGTTTATTGATTCCACCTACACAAGGAAGAAGACGCTCTTGCCTCCCATTACATGTATTCGTCCAGAGACAAGCATCTTATTGGATCGACTACTCTCCTGATCTCCCCTACCCCGATCAACGTCTTCACATTCTCATTATCACAATTAATATAATTTGTACTTAGTAACACCCGTCCATCAAGTGACAGCAAACCCCGTTCATATTTTTGCTGATTTTTCTCTTGCTACAAAGAAAGGAAAACATAAAGAGCTATTATCGCCCACGTCATGAAGTTTTCAACTTGGTATCTATGCTGATGACACAATTATTTATTCCGCTTTTAACAATAAGTCTGAGCGGTTCGATATAGTCAAATTGGCAACTGATAAAAAATGATCTTTTATTTTCCTTCCTTTTAATACTTTTTTAGTTTCTGTACAATCACATCTCTCTTGCCTTATTCTTCTCTTCACGATGATTAATGGTACTTTTCGATACGATCAAATTGGTAAGTCATGAAAAAAAAAACCCATTCTGTTGTTAACTAGAGCAAGGAAAGACTTGTTAATTTTAAAACTGCCGAAACGAAACAGTATGGCTGATGCTAACCTCCTGGTAAGTGACCCATTGTGCATTTTAAGATTAAGGTTTTCCTCTGATATGAACTGGATAATATTAAACCATTTGCAAGGTCTGCTGCTAGGAAAGTTGGTTCACTGTGTCATGCTAGAAGAGGGTTTTTTCGACAGAATTTATCTTACATCTACCATTCGCCTTTGTTTTGAATAATGATATCATATATTATCTGGTTTTACTGGTATATATTTAGATATTCTTGATAAAAACCAAAGAAACATCTGCAAAGTTATTGATTCTCATCTGGCATCTCGGCTTCACTGACGTAATGTAGCTCCCCTATTCCTTTTCTATAAATACTTTCATGTTCATTTTCGTGATAAACTTACTTTTGTGGTAGCTAGTTTTTATGCATTTAAGTGCAGTATTAGTTACAATTGAAATGGCTACATCTAATCTTAAGTTTCTTCTATCGTACTTTTCGTTTGTGGATCTCTCTTCCAGCTTCTTGCTTGACAGTCAAGTTGATCTTCAAAAAATTAAATGCAATATCAATCGTTATCTCATGTTCTTCTGTTGTTCTCTCCTAAAGTATTTTTTTTTGTAACACTCAGTAACACCATTGCGACTTAGCGGCTTTATTGCCTTGCTTGAGGTGTTACACAAGCGAGAACTTGTGAAATCTTGTTCTTTTCAAGTGGGGTTTGAGTTTTGAAGAAGAAAACGTCACAAGTGGCGAGAACTGGGGAATATGGTTGTTGACAGACATGGGAAATGTGCGCTTAGCAAAAACTACTGCACAATATGTGGACACTGAGATCAACACGGGGTAGCGACAGTCTGTTTCATGTTTGGCCGATATCATCATATCTGAAGATTGCATTTAAGTATTAAACAGACTATCGCCACGCGATGTTGACCTCTGGGTTGACTTTTATTTTTGCATTATTTCTATCCCTGATATAATGCATTGTAACCCATAAATATCGCATACCTTAAAACTATATTTTTATTATAGATACACACATACAAAAACACAGATATATACACACATATATATATATATATATATATATATATATATATATATATATATATATATATTAAAGCCAACGAACCATAATGTAAAATTTTTTCTTGTGTCATTCATCAATCCCCATGAAGGTTACGTATAGCATGAAACTTGGCTAAAAAATAGAGAGTATGCGTATCTATAATAATAATATAGTTTTAAGATATATATATATATATATATATATATATATATATATATATATATATATATAACAGTAGTAAAGCAATTGATTTACGTTACTGTATTTTTAGCCAAATTTCAAGTTTCATGCTATACGCAAGCTTCATGTGGGAATCGAAGGATAATACAAGAGGAATTTTACATTGTCGTTCCTTGGCTTTTATTATATATATATATATATATATATATATATATATATATATATATATATATATATATATATATATATATATATATAAAGCTTGCGTATAGCATGAAACATTGTTAATGTAAAATCAATCCCCGGCTTAAGATTGAGGATAGCCTCAAGCTGACAGTTGTGGGAATATAAGGGTACGTGATAAAATAGCTATTATTATTGTTATATGTAGGTGTTTACATTCTATGCATTCGTGTGGAAATATATCTATGTGTGCATGCATGCATATTTGAATGTGTTTATGACTGTGTGCATTTGCATTTCGTGGAGCAGCTCTTCAAGTAATATTAGATATCCTCCAGAACTGCGTAAACAGAAACTATTCTCTATGCCTTTGCTGAATGCTTCAAAATATATACAATAAACGACCCGTTCCTCCATTATAATTTTGTAGTTTTGTATTTTACAATTTTCGCTTTATTTTTATTTTTTTTTTTTTAAAGTCTATTTTTGTTTTCGTCATTTTTTTTTCGAATAACTGCGAGGGAATTTCTATATTTAACATTTATTCCTCCCCATCGCAATCACGACTTTCCCCATACGTTTCTGTTTTCATTTTTTTTTATTTTCAGAATATTTTGAATGTCTTCCGCATTTCATGCACCTTTTATTTATGCAACCATCTTCTTCGGGCCCTATCACTTTGAAACACTAGTTCCCGTACGTTTACCGATTTTTAAGATACGCGGAATCTTGACACAACATAATCTTCCTAACTCACATTTTGGTAAATCATTGCTATGCCTGTCCTGGGTAAGACGATAAACTACATCCGATAACAAGGCCTTAGTTCAGAAGGTTTTGGGGAGCGTGGAATCAGGTCCACTCTGACCCGGGGTGGGAGCACCTGTTAGGGTACGACCTATGGGTAAATAAGTAAGCTCTCAAACTGGGGTCAAAACACTATGAAAGTGCAAAAATAGGTTTTAATACCAGAAATACTTTTTAAAAGATTATTACCAGCAATAAATTTTTGAATAAAAATTAATACCAGAAATATATTATAACCAGCAATACATTTTTGAAAAAAAATTATTACCAGCAATAAAAATTTTGTCGGCATTAAATAACCCATTGAGGTCAATATGCCGTAAAACAAATCAAACCAAACCATTGTTCTCCAGCGTAGTGAATCGTCCACAAATGATTTGCACAACTGAATCATCCACTGATCCACCGGGAAGATATTCACAAATATGTAATTAAAACTAAAAATGATATTTTTCATTTAAACATTAAAAATGGTGGACATCATTACGGGAGATCATCAAGTGATTTTTTTCATTTGGTCATCATTCATTTATGATCCAGGTTTTTACAGGGCTTACGGTCATATCGCTTTGAAACATCTGTTCTCGCACGTTCAACGTCGAGTCTGTCAATCGGCTTGAGAATACCAGAGGCGGTAAACTTGGACATGTGCGGATGTGATGGATAACGTCTCTGAACTGGAAATCAGAGAACAGAATACCAATTCCAGTCGAGTTCGCTATATTCACTCACGTAACCTTGGAAAAGGTATGAATCCATCACTCCTCCCCCAGCTATGGGCTAATTTTCTAGTAACAGAAATTCATTATTATCTCCAAAAATTTCTCATGATCTAAAAAATATTTTCGGAGTTTAAATAATCTACGAAAAGTTGCTAAACCGTAAAAACACAATTCAATCTATCTACTTTTACTTCTATGTCCCGTGTCCCTTCCGGTCATTGGAGATCATGATTTCTATCAGCGTTTCGCCCTCTGCTAAGCCTCTTGTAGCGTTTCTTCATCTGTCAGGCATCTTGTAATGTTTCTCCCCATGTCAAGTCTCTTGTAGAGTTTCTCAATCTGCCAAGCCTCTTGTGGCGTTTCTCACTCTGCCAAGCCCCTTTCAGTGTTTCGCCCTCTGCCAAGCCTCTTGTAGCGTTTCTCCATCTACTAAGTCTCTTTTAGCGTCTCTTCATCTGCCAAGCCTTTTGTGGCGTTTCTCCGTCTGACAAGCCTCTTGTGGTGTTTCTCCATCTACCAAGCCTCTTGTAGCGTTTCTTCCTCTGCTAAGCCCCTTTCAGTGTTTCGCCTTCTGCCAAGCCTCTTGTAGCGTTTCCCCATCTATTAAGCCTCTTTTAGCGTCTCTTCATCTGCCAAGCCTTTTGTGGCGTTTCTCCGTCTGCCAAGCCTCTTGTGGTGTTTCTCCATCTACCAAGCCTCTTGTAGCGTTTCTTCCTCTGCCAAGCCCCTTTCAGTGTTTCGCCCTCTGCCAAGCCTCTTGTAGCGTTTCCCTATTAAGCCTCTTTTAGCGTCTCTTCATCTGCCAAGCCTCTTGTAGCAATTCTCCATCTACCAAGCCTCTTGTAGCATTTCTCAATCTGCCAAGCCTCTTGTGGTGTTTCTTCATCTGCCAAGCCTCTTGTAGCGTTTCTTCCTCTGCCAAGCCTCTTTCAGTGTTTCGCCCTCTGTCAAGCATCTTGTAGCGTTTCCCCATCTATTAAGCCTCTTTTAGCGTCTCTTCATCTGCCAGGCCTCTTGTAGCGTTTCCCCGTCTATTAAGCTTCTTTTAGCATCTCTTCATCTGCCAAGCTTCTTGTAGCGTTTCTCCATCTACTAAGCCTCTTGTAGTGTTTCTTCATCTTCCAGGCCTCCTGTATAGTTTCTTCATCTGTAAAACCTCTTGTAGCGTTTCTCCAAATGCCAAAACTCCTTCGCCCCTCCTCCATAAATCCACACAATCTCATCAGGTTGCCTTCCCCTATTATCTTTTGTATTCGTATGTATCCATGTACCGTTATCTCTCTTGTTCTGATTCTGGGTGTTGCTCATTATGTTAACATATTTCTTTGAGACTTCGTCGTCGCTTGCTGTCGCCGTCCTTAGAATTCTCAGCATCATTCTGTAGAACCACATTTCTGATACCTTCAGATATCTCTTTCTTTTTGTAGGGGATTGTCCAGCATTCACTGCCATTCAAAAGAATTGATATAACATAGGTTTTCAACATTCTTTTCTTAGTTTCTAACCAGGTTTTACTATTCGTTGTAGTTCTTCTTTGTGCCGTGACCCTTCAGGACGTTGGCAATCATGGCTCTCGTTGGCAAGTACTGTGAAAGTGACAGCAGCCAAAAATGACGGGAATTGTCAAGATTCGATCCACCATCTTTGAGGAAACTTTTCCCATATCTAAATAGTCAGTTCATGGCTCTCCACAATTTCATTTCCTTTGTAGGTCTTAATTAATTTTCTCTTTTTGTAATCTCTCCTAAACCTTATTCTGCCATCAATTTACACAAGCTTGTTAGGTAGGTTATGCATTGTTTTCCTCTTGCCTGCATTCTGTCCCGTGAGTATCAAATTTTCCAAGCCCTCTTACCTCATTATGTGCCGTGATGTTAAGTATAAGTTTCCTTTTTGTTTCCATTTTCTCTAACGCTTTGTCGTTGCTCACATATTCGGTCCATGATATCAACAGCATTATTTTGTAGAACCATATTTCTGTTGATTCAAATCTCTTTTTCAACTTTGAGGAGATTGCCTAGCACTCACTGCCATACAGGAGAACAGATATCACGTAAGAGTTTAGTACTCTTTTCCTTGTTTCTAACGAATGTCTTTTTTTATTTCTTGGTAATATTCTTAGCTTTTAGAATGCTTCCTTGGCTATCCCAATACGCTTTGAGATTTCACTGTCACATGTTCCGTTCTGTGTTAAATTACTACCCAGATATTTCAGAGGTTAAGTATAAGTGTCCTTTTTGTCTCCGTTTACTCTAAAACTTTGTCGTTGCTCACATGTTCCACCCATAGTATTCTCATCATCCTTCTGTAGAAACTGCTTATTAGTACTTTGGGAATACATTATTCGCTAACCTAATGTTACTTCAGCTGCAAAGGAAGTTGAAACCGGGAACTGCAGTCCATCGTTAGCCTAGAAATTTGAGAAAATACTAAGATCAGCAAATAATGACATATTTAAATCTTATTCATTTTGTAAATTAATTCATTTTTTTTTTTTTTGGCTATCGATCACTTTACTTGTAGAAAGTTTCAGAACCACGTTCAACCTTCATCATTTTGAAAAGGAAGAAGCAACTAACTCCACTGATATTTTTTGTGAACCTCTTTATTACAAACAACTATTTCCATTTGAATGGTATTTCTTTCCTCATAACAATGGCGAAGGATGACTTTGAAACCAGAGCAGGCAGTCTGCGATATCCATATATGATGAAGTGTTGATTTTATTTTTGTCTTAAATTTCTATTACAACCATCAAGAAATCTAAGAAAAAAATAAAAACACATATTGAAAATATATAAATTAATTTAATTTTTTGTTATTGTTTTTAATTCTAAAAATGCTAAATATTGCCTTGATTAAAACTTTCAATATTAAATTAAGTATTCATTTTTTAAAAATCAAATATTACGAAAATAAATAAATAAAATATTGCAACTGATTATATTTCGCTACGATTGTTAAGAAATAATTTTAAATAACACAGAATGTTTTTATTTTATATAATAAGAGAATAACGATGGATAATACTAATTTGCATAAAATCATTTTAATTTAATATTTATTTTATTTTTGTTAGAATTTCAATTTCAATATTTAAAAAAATCACTCATCTGTTGTCAAAAGCCGACATTTTGTTTATTTATTTGTTTTTTTTTTGCATCATCTCAATTCAAGGTTACAGAAGAACCTTGGCCTTATGTCGTTTACGGCTAGTATTTCTTGTTTATTTTATTTTTTTAGCAGAAACCAATTAAAAATTTACGAACTTATTTTAAAACTTTTAATTGAATTTGAAAACGAAAAAGATGGCAAAAGATTAGTCAAGAAAAGAACTAAATTAACTAAAGGGTACGATGGATAAATTGTTGTCTAAATGACGCAAAAATGAAAATAACACTGGCAACTTATTTTAACCAAAATTACACACAAATATCTTGAAATACTAAAATTAAATTTATTCAATAAAATCGCCATTGGTTTCAATCATGACCTTCAGACAACTTAGAAATCTGCTTGTTAGTGAATGCTGCCATAATCCTTGCCTTCATTTCATCTTTGGTGTTACAAGGAGTTTCGTTGGCCTTTTGATCAACTGCCCCCACACATAATAATCAAGGGGTTCCAGTTTGGAGAGTGAGGTGGCCAAATGTAAGGGGTGAGGTAGTCGCAGAAATTGTTTGACGGCCATGACTTGGCTCTCCTTGTGTGGCATGGTGCAAAGTTTTGTTGCCAGGCGTAGGGTCATTCGGCTGCCAATCTCTTGTCTCAGGACAGCACTACCTCCTCAAGGCACTTAATGTAGGTTTCCACATTGAATTTGAGGCCCAGTGAAAGATGAATGGAGGCATAACGTTGCCATCACTAGTGATCACTACAAACATTTTCATAACCACCATTAGACTCGTCCAACTTTCCGAATCCTCTGCACTGTGGTCAGATTGACAGCTAAACACTGAAATGTTTGCATTGGAGCTTCCGGTGCGAATGCCAAGCAGTACAACATGCTGTTTCCAAATTTCTGGCGGAGTGAATTGCGTCATGGTGCTTTTTTCTCGCAGATGGTGCCTAACTGGCCCTACTATACTGTTCAGTCGACAAAATAAATAAAAAAACAAACAATGCGCATGCGCGAAATGAAAAATATAAAAAGGCGGGCGACAATTCACCAATCGCATCTTGTACAGGTTAAAATGATCAGAAACCTTGTTTTTTTCTATCTTTGATCTTTCACTTCCGTTTTGCTTCTCTACCTTTAAGCCCAATGTAGAAACTTTTCGATTCACCCTGCTCAAAGAATAAGAGACTTTCTTTGACCATTTCACACTATGCAAGGCAATAAAGCCACTAAGACACAAGGGGTTTAATGAGAGTGAAAGAATAAGAAAACAGAAACATTATTAAAAGGAGAGAAAAGAGTAATCAGGTAGAACATGAAAAGTACTTAATTGTTTTTCTTTAGTTCTTTTCTTATTTTATGTGCCGCGTCTCATCAGTGCATAGACAATCATGGTTCTGCGTAACCTCCCGTCCCTTGTAGCCCTTAATAAGCTTTCTGTTATTTCTCTTAAACTCTGTTCCGCCATGTATTTACTCAAGCTCTTTAAGTACGTCACGCGTTCTTTTCCTCTGTTTCGTTTATCTCTCTATCTGTCCTGTAGGTATCAGATTTTCTAAGCATTCTTTCCTCATTATGTGGGATGAATTAATAGCTATTGTCAAATGCAAGATAAATAACAAAACTGTCCAACAGAGTTATCAAAGTTTGCAATAAAAAGAAAAAGGGCAAAAATAATATCGAGAAAGCAAGCAAGAAAACAGCAAAGCAAATTAACATGTAAAAAGGTAAAAAGTTCACAAACTAATAATTGGCGTCTACACACAAAATCAAGTGAACGCAGTGGTCTGTCTTCTAGACAAAGCAGATCTGGACTGAGGCTATTTACCTCACCTCCCGACAAGGCAGGATGTGGCACGAGGCCGTTTTCTATGTGGGGCAAATCCGAGTCCGTATGCTTGGGCAAAAATTCCCCGTAGACCCCGCATGCATGGTGTCGGGCTTGTCTACCTCCCCAGACGTGACTCTGCCGTTCGGCATAGCCTCGTCTGGGTTCGACAAGTCAGCCTAAACCGCCTGAAACGGCAGATCTGAACTGAGTCATGTCAAACTGTAAACCGGCTTATTTTATTGGCTGAGAAAAATACTCCAGCATGCATTTGTGAACTTCAGCCTATAGAAGGGTAGGGGTGTTTTTTCAGCCATTTCCCACAGTGTGACTAACATCTGTTTTGTTTTAGTTTCATATTTTGTTGTATTTTAGTATCGTTCTTTTGGGAGGATCATTCCCTCCCTCATCATTTCATGTTTCATGGAATTTTTATATATTTTTATAGGAAAAACAAAAGAAAATTAAAAAAATGATACATTATGAACTATACATATTTTTACATCTTGGGGTGTTTTTTAGGTCCCCTGTGAATATGTGGTATTGTGGCATATGTAGGATTGAGAAGGGATGGACAAATTCCTGTGGTGACAGAGTATACTGTAATGAATGAATGGCTCGTGATTGTCATTAACTAGGCCCAGGATAGACAGTGAAGACCAGCCTTTCCCCACTCCCCTTCAGCCCTGTGCCACAATTTCTGTACAACAACGGAAATAAATATGCATTTTTACAGTGTGTCTCAAATGTGTAATTTTCATTATAAATATGCATTCCCTACAATGTGAAATCAACAATGTGCGTTAGAAATTTCAACTGAAAAAGAAAAAAAAAAGTATAACTTTCCTTTTTGTTTCCATCTTCTTCAAAACTTCATCATTGTTTACATTTTCAGCCCATGGTATCTTCTGCATCCTTCTGTAGACCAGATTTCTGTTGCTTCCTGTCTCTTCATCCTTTCTGAGAAGACTGACCATCATTCACTGTCATATAGGAGTTATGATATTACGTA